TAGTAAGTTCAAATACCCCAATTTTATGCATTTCAAATGTAATCCTCTTTCACTTTATGGAGATTTTAGGATTAATAGTTGAATCTTTTTAAATTAGCTAAATATTGTCAAAATTTGTTTTCGAACTGTTGGAAATTTTAAAGAAAAAATAATTACAAATACCAAAATATTCCAATGAATTTTTAAAAATCTGAGTTTGTGTTTTTATTCTTATTTTGGCTTCTCACAATCAGTAATACATAGTATTTATATGACTCCAAAATTATATTATAAAGTTCTCCAAAAAAGCCAGCAAATTTTTAATTAGAAATGTGAAAATATTGGGGATGATAAATATTTGTATTTAATAAAAGGTACTGGAAATTAACAAAATATTTAATAATTTCAATATAAATTTCAAAAACAATGAAGGAAATTAATAAAAGAAATTTAACAAAAATTGAAGAATTTAGATATGTAAAAAATAAACAGTTCTACTTTTAAAAAAGATATAATAATATTGAAGAAAATAAAAAAAGAAGTATTGATAAATATAATTTATGCAAGAAAAATAAAATTTAAAAAATGAAAAAAAATGAAAATTTGAAATAAAATAATATTAAATTAAAGAAAAGAATTTAAAAGAATATAAGATTTTAAATATTTAAAAAAATAATTTTTAATTTTACTAGTAGATGAATTAATAATTAAATTCCACTCTATTTAAATAAATTCGTTGTAGACATTTGCTTGGGCCCGGAACCCTTTTCTGATTTATCAAGGTATTAAAATACATAACTAGAAAAATTTAAATAAATTCTATCTAACTGACGACGAAACATGGCAACCTTGACCAGCCTTCACGCCATATAAGCACAACAAAAGGATTTTCAGCTAAGTTTCAGTTGATCATAATTTTTTAAAGAATAATCAAATCTACTTTAGGTATAATTTAACTTAACTTTGTAAAATTGATTTTGAAACTAGAATCGTCTCTTTTTCAATTTTAAAAGAATGTAGCTTGGTAATGCTCTTCTAAAGATAATTCTAGTTTGTGAGTTGACAAAATTCCAGAATTATAATTATTTAAATTATTTGTTTAATGATAATTTAATAAAATGTTTGAATATTTTAAAAGAATTTAAAATTTAAATTTTATTTGTAATTTAATTTCTTTTTTTCCTATCTCTCTTTCTCTCCCCCATTCTGTCTACTAAATTATAAAATTACTTCCTTCTACTTTTTGTTGAATGTTTAGTACAATCAAAATTAATCAACCAAAAATTAATAATTTTTGTCTTTTTGGATTTAATTATAAATAAAATAATGTTTGTCCATCTTAAAATAAAAATTTATTTAAAAAGATTGTCGTCAAACTTTCTTAAATTAATTAATTAAATAAAAAAACCCTCATCATATAAAAAGTTTTTATTTTTCACTAAAATACATAAAAAATTTAATTTAATTATTTTATTTTCATTTTATGAATTTTTAATAAAATTTAATTAAAATTATTAAATTTAAAATTGCCAAATTTTAAATTTTATTAAAAATACGTAAACAAAATTCTAGAAAAATTTTCTCAAATTTTATTGCCTTAAAAATAGATTTAATTAGAAATAATTAATTAATTAATTTTTTAAAGATAAATTAAATTATTTAAAAATGAAATTAAATTTTTATTTTTTAATTATTATTTTATATATTCAATACAATTATGTTTCTAGCGATATATTTAATTTTACTGAAGTTGAAACTAAAGGTGATAAAGGTTAGGTTTATATTCAATAATAATATAAATTTAATTAAATTTTAAAAATTGTTAAATTTATTTATTACTAAATATATTTTTGTATTTTAATTTCCCCTTTTTTAAATTTTTTTATTAATTTATTTAACGGTTAACAATAATCATTTATTCAAATTATTAATTTCCCAATAATTTCTCTAAATTTTTTAAAATCTTATATTTAATTAAAGAACATATTGGATATGGAGGTATGGAGGGGGATCTTCCCGCAGGTCATAACAAAGCAGCTCCTGGCCCAGCTAACAAATATAAAAGAGGTTGTGAAACGATAAATGATTGTCGCGACGGAAAAAAAATAAAAAATTAATTATTTTTTAAATTAATAAATGAAAATAAATTAAAATTTTATATGAATAAAATGCCGATGAGCAAAGCATCGCGAAATAAAATTTTTTAAATAAAATAAAAACCACTTTGGCACTAAAACAAAAATATAGTTGATTTTAATTTTCGACATTGGAAATGGTTCGAAAAATAAAAAACTTCCTTTAGATATAACTAGTGATGTTAAATGAATTTTAATTTACTTCCATTATCGAGATCTTGAAACCCGAAAATAAGTGAAAAATTGGGGTAGAAATCTTTGAGGTGTGCTATAAGATCGTTTTTATCTCATTATACAGAAAAAATTTATGTCGAGAGCCAAAGTGATAAATTTTCAAGTCATAAGCTAAACTAATTATATCTCAAAGAAAAATTTTTCTGTATAATGAGATAAAAATTTCGGGTAACCCGGCCCATCACTGATATACAGATTTTTGAAGGAATATAATTATTAAATAAACCTAATCAAAGTTTATTTTACATAAAAATTTTCTAAAATTCCCTTTTAGTTAAAAATTGGAAATATTTGAAAATATTATAAAATTTACTATCTTCTTAAATTTTGTTGTTAAAATATCATTAGCTATCTCCCCTTTTCCTAGGGCTCATTTTTAAACATTAGACTAATAACAGATCATAACTAATTTGACGAGGCTCGCCGAAATTACAAAAATATTGAATAAAATTTGAGAAAAAATAAATTTTTAAAAATTTTTATTGTGTTTTGTTCTTTTTTTTTACTTTAAAATTTAAAGTAAACCTGCGATTATTGCTTTTAATTAATTATTGTTTATTCAGTATATTTATATAATTTAAGACAAAATTAAAAGGCAGAAAAGATTCCCCCTAATTAGAAATTAATTCTCCTTTTAGCCAAAAATTAATCGAATTTTCTGGAAAAAAATTATTATTTCAAAATAAATAGATTTATTTTTTTTTAATAAAAAAAATTAAAATGGTTAATATTTTTTATTTAAATATTTTACCTACAATTTTAATTATTTTTATTTTTATAAATATTATTAATGGAAAATCTTTAATTGAAAAATTAAAAGAGTTTTTTCATACTCATCACAAAAAACATAAAAATGGTAAAAAATTAATTTAACAAATTATTTTAAGAATATTAATATGTATTTTATTATCATTCTTTATTTCCCAGAATTTTAAATAAAAATATTTTCGATTCAAATTATTTAAAAAAATTCCAATATACCGTATTTTCTCGATTAATTACCCTCCCTCGAATAATTCCCCCTCTCGATCAATTTACCATGCTAGAGTTGGGTTGAAAAAATAATTCCTCAAACCAAATACCCTACTGCACGTTCAAATGCCAAAACTCAAATAATTCCCCATGACAAGGAAGGGTTGAAAAAATAATTCCCCAGAGGAATTAATCGAGAAAATACAGTATGTATTACCAGAATTTATTTAAAAAAATTTATTATTTTTTCAATAATTTTTTACAAATTCTACTTATTTAATTAACTAAATATTATTTTTAGAGACTCCAAAACCAAAATATATTTCTTATGGTGCAATGCGAGGGGATTTAATACCTCCAACAATGGATCATATTCTACCTTTTGCTAATAATTATACAATACCAAATACAACAACAAGTCCTCCACAAATTACCGAAAATATAACAAAAGAAGAATTATCATCAAATAAATCAGAAAATGAAGAAGAAAAAGGAGAATTATTTTTTATTGAAAAAATTAAAAATGAAGTTATTTTATGAATATATTTAAAAATAATATTAATTAAAATATATTTTAGAAAAAATCGAGATTTTTATTTGAATTGGCAATTCTTTTTTTTATTTGAAAATAAAATCTCGGTTTTGAATCTCTTTTTATATTTTTCTTATTTTTATTTTTGTTTAATTAATTTATAAATTCCCTCTGTAATTTATTATTGAAATAAATTTTAAAAAATTATTATATACCGTAAATGCTGAAATAATTACCCTCTCTCTAATAATTACCTCCTAGTTCTCTTGAAAATATTTAAAATAATATTATCAAATTTATTTATTGGAACATTTTAGGATTCAATATTAAAAAATAAATCAATTTCGCCTCAATTGGATTGTGATATACACCGAATCCAGCACCTCCTCACTATTAATTACCCCCTCTAACGAAAGATTGAAGCATATGAATTAAATAAAAAAATATTTTGAACTAAAAATATCTTAAATAATTTTAAATATTTTTTTATTTTTTTATTAATCGCAAACTGTGTAAATAAACTTGGTGTCTCCGTCAGCAGTTAGAAGTAAAAATACTTGAATTCCGCCATAATGCCCGGAGTTAAGCTTTTACCTTTCTCTTATTATACTAATTATTTTTAAAGGCATGATTTAATCAATTTTTAGTGGCAAATACTGAAAAATAATCAATGATTTTATTAAATTATCGATAAAATTTTTGAAAATATTTTTAAAAGTTTTATTTTAAATATATTTTTGGTAAATGTAAATTCTCCAATGTCTTTACGTCGGATGAATATAAAGGAATATTGGGGGAGGAGTGATTGTATTATACATAGAGACTTAGAATCCACAATATAAACACGTGGATTTTTGCCAGTGTTTAATTTCTCTCTTTAATTTTTTTATTTATATCCAAAAAACTCAACAAAATCCACATAGTATATCGGAAGGAAAACTTTTTTCAAACCTTTTTCTCACTCACAAGTTTCGACTTTTGTTTGCCTTAATTAAATATTTTTTGGCAATTAATATTTATAGTTTGTATTATTTACTTTATTTTAATTTAAAATTTACTTTTTAAAATTCATTATTAATTATTTAGCTTTTTTCCCCCAAAAATATTTCTTTATATTTTTAGTTTTTTTATTAAAATACCTTCTATAAATGAATATTAATCAATTAATTCTTTTAATATTTTATTTTTCTATAATTATTCTAAATAATATACTAGTAGTCAAGAGTAAATCTATCCTAACTAAAATTGGAGAAATTTTTACAAAACATCATTGTGACGATAAAAATAAAGAAAACGAAGCTACAAAAGGACGTAAATAATAATTTTAATTAAATATTTAAAAAAATATTTTTAAATTTATATATTTTCTTCCCCCATCTATGACAAACTCTAAATATAATTCTAACAAAGTTAACATATACATTTTGTAAATAATTAAGTTTAAACACGATTTATTTAACTATTTTGCCGAAAGATTTTTAGTTTCTTTTCAAAAAATAATTTTTTTATTTTTTGTATTAAAAATATATTTATTGAAGTTTAATTAATCGTTAATATTTTTAAAAATACATAAGTGAACGATTTAAATATTTCCAGAATTTATTTAAAAAATTTCTGCCACCTTTTTTTAGTTTTGCATTTTTAGAAAAAAATAATTTTAATTTAAAGCCCAATACATTTCTTATGGCGCATTACTGGCAGATGCTATTCCTGGAAGAATATATTCTAAAGTATTGCCTTTAGCAAATAATTACACAGATCCTCGAGAATTATCCAAAACAACTTCTTCTCCAAATCAAAATTCAGATTATCGAGCAAAATTTCCAAAAGAATTTAAATTATTAAATCCTACAACAAAAAAAGTTGAAAAACTACAGAAAAAATAAAATATGTAGTAACAAAAAATTAAAACCAATAATTAATTAAGAATTTGAAAGCTTTGAGAAAATTTTAAATAAATAAATTTAGAAAGTAAAATATTTTACTAATTCTAATTGTGTAATATTGACAATAAAATTTTTAAAATTATTCTTGTATTCTAAATTGAAAAATAAATTATATCTATAACTAGTTATTTATGAGTATTATTCAATATTTTAAATTTATTTAAGCCAACAACCAACGTTTTAATTAATTTTACCGAGATTAAATTTAGAAAAGAAATATTCTATTTTTAATATTTTGGCCAATTTTACCGAAATTAAAGAATCCATAGTGTCAAAAATAGCTCGTTCAATAAATCATCTGACTTATTTCGTTATTTTTTAGAAATTTCGACACTAAAATCTTTTAGTCTGACAAAACAGAATAATGACTTGCAGGGAAATTTTTAAACTGCATATTACTGTTCGGCCGGTCGAAGATTTGTAAAAAAGTTAGCCAAATAAAAGCTAGCCATTTCATAATTAATATAAAAGCCAGTTATTACAAAGTTGTAAATTCATACAAAAATCCAGGCATTTTATCATCTCAAAACCTGCAACATTTCGTTTCTAAAATGCGCTTATGGTCTAAGTTATTTTTCTGTTTAAATTCCTTGTTCATTCTTCTGTTGCTGTTTCTTCCAGTAATTCTTTCCATCAATGAGAGTCGTAATTTGTAAGTTTATTTGCATCTTTACTCGGAAAAATCTAATTTACCTTTCCTTAAAGGAATAATTCGTCGGGCATAGAACCAAACGTTAACCTGACTTCGACCAAAATATCTCCAACGGAAACGACAATTCCGACGACCACCACTATTTCGACCATAACACCTCCAACTACTGCACAGACAAACACAACAACTCCGGCAAACACCACTGTTTCGACTACAGAATCTACTGCAGAAACGAACAAAACAAGTTCGGAGGTAACCACCACCACAACTGTGGACCAGACGAATAAAACAAGTCCGGAGATGACCAACAAAACTGCGGAACATGTGAACACATCAACTGCGGGGATATCAACTGCAGAACAAACAAACAAAACAATTCAGGCGATAAACACCACAACCGCGGAACATACAAACACCTCAACTGTGGAGATATCAACCTCAACTGCAGAACAGACGAACAAAACAAGTCCGGAAATAACCACTACAAAATCTCTGACTGAGGGACAAACAAACAAAACAGCACTGGAGATAACAACCACACCTGCGGAAAAGACGACCAAATCAACTCCAGAGACAACCACTACAACACAGAAGAACACAACATCTACCACAACATCGTCTACAACACAGAAGAGTACAACTTCCACCAAGCAAACAACATCAACAAAAATACCACCACTGAATACAACAACGACCAAATCAACAACGATCACAAAAAAGCCAACAGGAACTGTGTTGGAGGTTACAACGTCATCATCTAATTACTCAAAAACAGTGGAAACAACAAATAAAACATCACATGAAAACAAAACATCAGAAAACTCGACAGTTTCTGGTGCATCAACGACAAACATAACGACAACAGAAAATAATATTACATCAGAGATACCACCAACTTCCACAACAGAAATAACCGAAACAATTTTCAATTCGACAATGTCAGCTTTTGGAGAATCGAAGACAACCAAAAAAACGAAGATAACAACAATTATTTTTACCCAACAAAAATCTTCAGTAATTTCTACAATAAATCCAACCAAAAAAGAAGAAACTACTCCAAATATTTTCTTTTATTTAAGCATTATCTTTGCCATCATTATTATTTTATGTTTTATCTGTGTTTGTTATTCGTGCCGAAAAGAGATTTGTCAACTAAAAATATTTCGAAGATTTAAGAAAAATAGAAAAAGAAGAAAATTGAGGAAGAGACTTACAAAGAAGATAGAATTTTCAAAAAATGATTATGATCCAGAATTTTGTTATTTCAAACCCGATGATTTTAATGAGGGTGGTCCTATGAAAATTTATAAACAATTAAAGGTAAACGAGGAGATTTTTGGAAGGATTTTATTTTTTATTTTTGTTTAGGTTCCATCAACTGCTCCAAAGAATGTTGAATTGGCCTCAGACCTTACAAAAATTAACATCAATTTTGAAAAGAAAATGTGTGTTATTGTAAGGGACAAAGGTATTTTCGGAGTTTGTTTCCTAATGTTTATATCCATTTTGTCGTTTATAATTCCATCCCACTTTTCTCACGTTTAAAAGGATTTGTAATCACCTTATTATTGTCTTATTGTTCTTTCACTTTAATAAAAGAATTAAATAAATGTTTTAATATTTGGATTCAATAAATAAATATATTTTGTGTTCAATTGTGTATGCCTGGTGAAGGGGATCAACAGAGGGCCTGATCAACCCTTAAGTTTATCCTAGGAAGTCCCGGGCATATTCCCTCCCGTATTCCATTATCTGGGGTTTGGGCCCACCACATTGGTACTATCTGATTCCGGGGGTCCCTCCTCTATTGGTAGCACCGGTCCTTCGTCATCGACGTGGAATATTGGGAGGTAGGTGAATTTTTTTTTAAATATATATATTAAAATCTAAATTTAATAGGCCTAGTAGTAATTTTTGGATTAAATATAATAAGACCCCGGGGCGTAAAAATAAATTAATTTTAGATAATGATACATAAAATTTAATTTTTTTGGTAGTGCACGTAAAACCAGATAAACTTCCTTCGGGAAATAAATGGATATACAATATATTTTTCTTTACATTTTTTACTTACTCTTCTATCTAAAAAAGTCTAAACTTTCTAAACTAATCCTTCGGGAGTAATCTTCCTTCGGGAAATAAATGGACTTATAATTTATTTTTTTCTATACCTAAAATCTAAACTTCTGAGAGTATTGTTTGCCTTCGGGATTACAAAGGACACTTGTACGAAATAGGTGATCTTCTGGTCTAATAAACATTTATTTTTAATATTAATCTCGCTATTATTAAACTTTGTCCTTTTCCTCTTGTATATATATTTTTTTTTGCAATTTAAAAATTTTTCCTTCCCAAACATTACATTAACATTTTAACATACTTAGCCTTTTTTTTTCTTTTTATTAAGTGTGCATCAACAATATAGGGTGATATAATCTTGAAGTTCTTTTTCTCATTTTTCCTTCCTTCACTTGAATTACAATAATTTTTCTTCCGCCGTACATCCTCCATCTTCACAAACTTTATCCTTTGAATATTTTTAATGTATATTTTTTCAAAAAACAAAATCTTTTTCTATTTATTTTATTTTTATTAAATATTTATTAATGTTTTTATTAATAATGTTTTAAAATATAATTCTTATTAATCAAATTAAAATATATTTTTATTATTTAGTACTCAAAAAAAATCTAAAACTAAAAATTTATATTTTTTTTTAAATTGTTGTTGCTATCATCAGTGTTCAAATTAAATTTGTTTGATTGTTTTTGGCGTTGTAAGTATTATTTATAAAATGAAAATTAGTTAAAAATATAAAATAAATTTTTTTAATTACTTTCTCATTATTTAATTTATGATATTTCAGGAATCTTCAAAAAGCTAACTTTACACTCTTGGCTTCGGCTACTATATTGGTTTAAATTCTTCTAAAATTTGTAGGTTTATAACAATTTTTAAAACTAAAATGTTTTATTTAATTAAACAAAATTTATTTTCCATTTGTTTTCAAATACTTATTTATGATTTTTCAGGGATTTTCAAACAAATTTGGTGATCAGTGCTAAATTTGTTAAATTATTGCTGGATTTTGGCCTTGCTAGTATTTGGAAGTGAGTTTAAATTTAAAAAAATATACAAATAAAATTTATTCTTCTCTTCTTAATTTAGTCCTTGTCTCTTTAAAACTGTTTAAAATCCAAATTTTTATTTCAATTTTTCTCAGATTTTATATATTTTTGGCATTTTAGTTATTTTTAGCATATTTTGTCATTTTTAAGTTGATTTTCATTTTAGTTTTTTTTTCTCTTCTTCATTTAGTCTTTTTCTCTTTAAAACTCTCTAAAATCCATTTTTTTAATTTTAATTTTTCTGATATTTTAGACAGTATATATTTTTGGCATTTTATTTATTTTGGAATATTTTATATTTGTCATTTATATTTGTCATCTAATTTCTACTTAGAAACTAAATTTGTATGTGTATTTAAAGAAAAATGACATTTAGAGTATTCCACTTAGTTTGGAAATAAATTATAATTTTCTAATGAAAAGGCTAATTTGAGTGATTTAACAGTTCTGCAAATAAGATTTCAAATTTTTTTTTACGGTCTAGGATTTGGCAATGCCTGGATACTCTCCTATCATTTTTTAAGTATTTACTGTAGAAATTATTTTGTTTGTTTATTAATTGGTTTTTCTTTCTAATCATTTCCTTTTTCTCTCTTCTTCTTTTTCGATATATGCAATAGTTTTTCCTTTAACTTTTCCCCTCTTACAGTAGATATTTAAATCGAAAGGAGAGAGAGGAAATAAATTTAAATAATTCTTTAATTGGCTGAATTTAAGTTGAGAGCTCAGAAATGGATAAAAGGGAAATATTTAGAATAAAAAGTGAGAAAATAAGATTTTTTAAAAATAAATACTTCTGGTATGAAATTAAACGGAAGAATTTTAGTTTGACCGAAATTAAAAAAAGGGGGATTGTATTAGCTAGGAAAAAGCGAATAATCAAAAAAAAATCTTTTTTATCCAATTTCTGATTATTTTTCCCTCAAATCTGTCACTCCATTAATCACACTTTTAAATATGCTCTCATTATATTTTCCGTCCATTATTTTAAATATTAATTTATTTTCTCTTTTTATAAATCTTCGTCCTTTAATGATTTTACTTCATTTTTTAAAAATATATTACGTGTTAATATTCCCCTGAATTGGGAAAAAGAAATACTTTCGGTATGAAAACTTTTAGCCGGAATATACAAATAAAGATAGAACAAAAAGGACAGAAAAAGTAGTTTTTTTTTCCCTCATATAACTAGGCTAAAATTTTTCTATTTTGAAACAGTTTCCCATCGATGCGTAACTTAACAGATTGGACGCATTAAAACGTAATATACTCTCCAATCTTTACTGTACTGAAGTATATTTAAATGTGCTATATTAATTACATTTATCTGGGGTCCTCTATTATAAGAAAAACAGCAAATAAAACTTAAAAAAAAATATATATAAAATAAAATTGTTAGGTATTAATGATCCTGTTTTCCTATTTGTTGAAAATTGGGAATTTTCTTTTCTATATGTGCAGAATGCCTGCAATTATATAATGTAACAACTTTTATAAAATTTGGGGAAAATAACTCCTTACAATATATACATTTTCAATTATTCTAAAGAAAAGTCAGTAACTAACAATTTTATTTGCTGTTTCTTAAATCAAAAGTTACTTGAAAAATAATCACCTCCTCTAAAAATTTCAGCTATTTTGATAGATTCGTTTAATTTAAAGGAGAAAAAGAGAAAGTTAATTATTCTTTTACAACTGCAATTAATACTAATTAATATTTAATGTATCTTCTTCTTTTTCTCCTCAAATTAAAAACTATGTTTTGAAGAAAAACAAATTCCTTCTGAGTTATAGAAGAGATACAAATAAGAAGAAAATATTTTATACTGCTTAGGCTATAATATGAGTAAGATTTTGGATTCTGATCTAGTAAATTCTGGCTTTAACTAAAAATAAATGATTCTAAGAGGAGTATCTATAAAATTGGCATACCATGGTTGAATTTTTTTTTTCTCACTCTTCTCATTTTTCTTTCTTTAAAAACTTGTTTTAAACTAATTTCAATTGCCACGTGGTAATGTACCCTACTTTGTAAGTGAGAATAAATGAACAAGTTATGTTATGGTTAAATATTATGGACTAAAACAAAAAAAATTATTTTTAAGAAATGTGTCTTTAAGATACTATTGATGCTCGTGTTATTCCTTTTTTTTTATTAGTTTTAAACAGGCACATTTAAATGGATTAAACGGAAACAATGACAAAAATTGAAGAATCATCTTTCAGATTTTATTTTTTCTGATTATTTAACAAAATAAATTCTTCCGTGCTTTTAAATAATGGATTTGGAATTAATTCGTTTGAGCTTCTTTTCTGCCAGTTAAATAATAATATAAATCCCATTCCATCTAATCTCCATTAATTATAGCACATAATTAACTAAATCGTTTTTATTCATTTTAGGTAAATTTTCCTCAGCAAATTTTTCAATAATAATATCATTTTCTAAAATTCCTCTCTTTTTGCTTAAATAAAATACTCTCGATCTTAAACATTCTATTGAATTTTTGGCGACAAATTAAAAAAAAAAAAATTTTTTTTTTTATGTTGGGGTTGAAAACGATTTAAAAAGACATTTTTTTTCTCTTAAACTTTGGTAATTTGCTTATGATTAAATCAAGATTAAGCCAATGAGTTTTAACAATTGTTATGTTCAAAATTTGGGGTTCAAAAAAAAACCATTACATTTTATTAGTTAATCGGTTAAAGCTTAAACAAATTTTTTTTTGGCATTGAAGTTTTGTTTTAAATTTATTCGGGAGTTAGGTTAACTGAGCGAATATTTCGCCACAATCTAGATTTAAATAACACGACTTATTATCAGAAATTATATAAATAAAATATCCGCAAAATAAATTTATTGTTTCTCTTTTCTTTTAGAATTTTGTTTGCTTCTGTTGTGTTTTATTTTTTAAATGAATCACTCATTTATATTTCTTTTTCCTCACTTTTGTTTTAAGTGAATAATTTTTTTTGTGAATTTGTAAATTTTGATTCGTTTAACTTCAACTTAAAATAAAGTCTTTTAACATTTTATTTTTGTGTTAGTTATATCCTATACTAAAAAATAACAGTTAATTTAGGTTTAGGCCGGTTTCTTGATTAAATTTAAGAAAGGATTATCTATTAACTCCAAAAATACCAGTATAGAAATAAAAGTCTGCATTATAATAAAATTTAAGTCTGTTTCGTAATCCATTAAAATAAAATGCTTAAAATACTTCTACTTGTAAATTCTGATTTGACACTTTACATATTTATCTAAAATCTTATAAGAACAATTTAAGTGTTTAGGTTAAAAGTGGCTATGAGCTTTTATACATGTTATTGTACAAATTCGAATCATATCCTACTGTATCTAGTCATCTGAAATTTTTTTTTCCAGATTTCTAATATAATTTTTGTGTTAATGAAATA